GAAATATCACTGTATTAGCTGTGCTCTTCACGGCCAGGCTTGCTTTGGTCTGGGCTGTTTCCAAATACAGTTCGGTCTCATCTAATATCATACCGGATATCTCTTCAATGAAGTCAAAACAGATGCCATGCTGTGAAAAGAAAGGCAACACTTTCCGGAGTAATAACTCTGTTTGACTGCCAATATCATTATAAAATATGCCCATCCATGTCCACCTGAAATATAATAACAGCTGGAGAATCCCATGATACTGATAATCAGCATTTGGGAACATCCAATGGAAGGGAATTGCTTGATTTTGTCCATTCGCTTCTGGAGCAGAAGTATATGCAAGCTAATTGAACGCAATTGGAAAAGCAGAATCAAAGAAAAAAAGCAGAAGGGTTTGTTCCACAAGAAATGCATTTCCCTCCCAGTAAAACACTGCATGTTTTTATTCCTATGATTGTGTTGCTGGAAATAGACTGGGATCACGGGGTCCTGTTTTTATTGAAATTTTCACATCCAATGACCACTTCTTAATAGAGTAGTTAGGGATATGTTAGTGTGAAGAAAAGGGGAATGTGGCATTTACCCAGGTTTCCTGGAGAAAGAATAGAAGCCCACCAATACCCACCGCACAGATCTTAAACACTTTCCTATCTAAAAGGAAAGGGAATTCTGGACAATTTCTTCATTTTTTTTCTTTTTTGCTGTTCATGGAAAAAACCCACCTGTGCAATCTTGTATTGACTCAGAATAGTTGCTATGTGAAGAAAATCATTTGAGTTAGGTCCTCCAATGACTGCTACCAGATTATTCTTGAAATCACATTTATAGTTTGGGATGAACCTGTCTGGTGTGGAGAGAAGTTCCATTGTAGCTGCATACATAAGTTTTGGATGAAAATAGTTGTTATAGATGTTGAAGCCAAGGGTGACATTGGTTAAGATCTGGGGATTTCCATTAATCTCCTTTACAGCAAATACGAGAGCCAAGATGTGTTGATAGGTCTGAGTTAGTAACCTGCAATTCAATTGAAAAATAATAAATCTTTTTAATACAACATTGGTTAAGATCTGGGGATTTCCATTAATCTCCTTTACAGCAAATACGAGAGCCAAGATGTGTTGATAGGTCTGAGTTAGTAACCTGCAATTCAATTGAAAAATAATAAATCTTTTTAATACAATCGTTTGGTGAGAGACCCGCTTGCAATATTAATAACTCTGAACTTCATTACTATCTGATTTTATATAAAATATATTGGAAATTTTTCCACATACAGTATATACTACCATTGTTTTGGAAGGTAAGACCTAAATGTTAAAAATACAATTCCACCATTAATCCTATTTGTACAAAATGTGTTGTATAAATTTTTCTCTGCAGATCCATGGTAAAATTATAGCTAGCCATTTTAAAATTTGGATCATGTTCATCATGCCCTAAAAAAAAAAAAAAAAAAGGAGTTAATGTGAAGGCAGTTGTCCTTTCTCTGCAAACTTCAGGTTCTCCAAGGGACAGTTTGTAGACATGAGAAACCCTTCTGGTATTTGTAAAATAAAATACTTGGTGATTTTTTCAGAGGTAGTAAGAAATGGTTACCTTTGTAGAGTTAAATAATTGACAAGTTGGAAATTTCTCTTGGAAAGCTTTGTGCAGTAATTAGTTCATATATGTTTTCTTTTATCTGGTCATTGACTGAAATAAATATTATCTATCACCTCTATCTATCTCTTGGAAAGAAGACAATGAAAGAGATTGGGCCTTCAATTCTCTAGTGTTTTATAGACAAATGATCCAGATATAAGATTTCAAACCCTTTGACTTCTAAAAGTTAAAATGGTTTAAGAGTTTTAAATCTTGTATATGTGGATCTACAAGAACTGATATGGATATGGATATGGATATGGATATATGTCTGTTTGTGTTTGTGTGTATGTGTGTGTGTGTGTATACATGCTTCTAAATGTTATTTCCAATGTTAATACTCCAGCTCCTCCTTCTCCTCCTCTATATTGGTGAAACAAGAAAGAAAGCATCATTTGGAAGCAGAACTTCCCCACCCCACCCCATCTCACTCCCCCAGAAAACAAGAAGCAAATTGCACTCTCATCACTTCTGATGATTACCAAGACAGAGATACAATAGAGGTCTAAAGCATCAACTCCTTACATAAATTCAACAAAAATGTCTTCAAAAGGGTGTCTTCTGAACATGATCTTCTCTGAAACTACAAAGCTGTGAGAAATTATACCACCAAGAATGAGGTCCCCTGGTTCATGGTATTTGTGAACAAATGGACTGGAGTCACTATTAGTGCCTTTTGAAAAAGAAACTTTGCAAACGTTCATAGGAAGCATCCCTAATACCAACATCCCAACTGTAATATATGAAAATCTTCCTGTAAAAAAGCTGTTCACTTCCCCCATGACTGTTGGAATATTCTCCAAATGAATAGCCAGGATTCAACTCTAAAGCCAAGGAAGTTGACAACAAACTTCTACCTATTGAATTAATTTCAAAGGGGATGTTTGAAGCATCCTTTAGCCTTAAAGTTGCAGACTGGTAATGCCCTGTTGTCTTTTACAGGGAATTGTCAAACTG